ACGTGGTGGCGAAGCGGCTTCCCTTCTCCGCAGGTTGGAGGGGAGTTCGCAGCCCCCCAGAAGTGCAGGCCTCGTAGTAGCATGGGGACCCAGAAATGCACCCACCCCAGGCCCTGCGCCCCGGGACAAGGCTAGGGCATCCCTCCGTGGGGGAGAGGAGGGAGCACCTCCATCCTACCTTCCTGATGGGGAAACTGCTATTTTTATCCAATCGGGCTTTGCAAAGCCCTAAGCTGCCCAGTTCACTCACAGGGCCTTTTCCTGGCTTTTAAAAAGTGCAAGTTCTGCCCAGCAGGCTGTATGCCCTTGGGCAAGTCACTTCCCCTCCCACCCTATTTGTTATAAAATGATAAAATGCAAAGAAGGCTGACAAATGGGACATGGGTCAGTGGTAACATTTAAACAGGGCCGAACTGAAGTAGAAGTCCGCTGAAGGCAGGGAAGTGGGTCCTTTTGGCCCAACTCTGTGCCTGATGCTTGCAAGAAACCCTACCTAGGGCCCGTTCCTGGCAAAGTGCAGCGTGGACCTCATTAAGGCCACACAACTGACCAATAGAAAGGTGTTGCATTCATTCGCCCTGTCCCAGATGATAGGGCCAACCAACAAAGGCCTGCTTTAGAGGCCAGGTCTTGAACCATTAAGTAGGGCCAAGGTGTTCCTGTTAAAATAATGCTTTCTAGGTAATGCAAATGCACCTCACTCTACTCCTTCCTCCAGGGCCCCTAGACATGGACCTTAAAAAGCTTCCCTGGGCATTTGTAATCAGAATTTGAGATTGGATCATTTGCCTTCCAACAAGCACAGTGTCTTTCTTTATTGCTCAAGATAGTCCATGGTGAAGTGATCAATAAATGTTAAGTAATTGGCATCCAGTCCATGGGTACAGAATACAAATATCTCCTGGGGACTCACTCAAAAACCCAGAAATTCATCTAATCCTTCCCTTCCAAACCTGAATCTCAATCGAGTCCAGCTCCATCCATACCTACCCCAATTGCACAGGCGTAAAGGAAGAAGTATTATTAAATGTTTGACAACCAGATCCCAGAAGAGAAGAAAAAAAAAAACACACCAAAACCCCTGATTTGCAGCATTTGCTATTTCTGGTGGTGTATCCATACTCTCACTATGGCCAATTTCCTGCCACCATTGTGATGTTACTGAGTTGGAAAGAAATCCCAGGCTCCAGAGCATTGCTGAAGCACGGACCCTGGACCACAGGCTGTGAGAAGCACATGCCTTTTCTCATTCAATCCTCATGACACACAGGCAGGTATCAATATCCTTACTGCACAGATAAATGCAATTTTTTTATGCAAGTGGCAGAGCCAAGATTCTCACTCAGGCTAGTGGAGAGCAAGCGCCTGCTCTTTGACAGAGTTTTTCCATTTGGGGCATGACCTACAGTAGAGGTGCAACTGACATCAAGAACCCGGCGCACAAATACACACAAAACAATGCTTTCCCCTTACTAAGTGTGATGTGGCCCTTAATCTTCTATTTTCTTTCTTTAGATCAGGGTGCACGCCACTGAAATGATTTCATGACCTACAAATAGGAAACACCCTGAAAACCACTGTGCTGAGGGTTGCAGCTACACAAAGCATGTTCAAAGGTAGGTACCAGTGACCCACAGCATCCCCTCCGTGGCCAATCTGTTTCCCAGGCATCTGCAGAGGCTCCAGAGCCTTCAACAACCCCAGCCCTTACTCACTGCACTCCAGATGCATGCGAAGCTGAAATATGTATCATTTTCTTAACCAGTGTCACCCAAAATTCAATAAAAAGGAAAAAAAAATTTTAAATGAATGCAAGATCACACACTAGGAAGTGGAAGAGAAAGAAAAAGGGCAAAAGTTCCAGTAAATAAGGGAGTGGCATTGGACACACCAAGAGATAACTCATCCACTGTGCCCTCTTCCGGGCTCCAACATGCTCCTGGGCCTCACTCAGAACTCCGCCCTCTCCTCTCCTTCCCAGTTTCTTTGAAGGAGAAGCCCATGGCTTAAGTATTGGAACAGAGAGATGTTGGTGTTCCCAACAGTGCCGCAGCGTCCCGGGATGAAGAGGAAATCCCACACACAAACACCCACTTCTGAGCCTCCTCTTTCTGATCTCCAAAATGGGGCTATTACCCACCGCGGGCTGCTGTTGTGAGGGCTGACGGGCGGAGAAGTGCTTCGCAGCACAGTGCCTGGCAGATCAGTGCCCAGTGAGTGGCATGAGCTGTCATCTGGGTTTGGTGACTGTGGTGCAGCTCCTGGTCAGATGCTAAGCGGAAGGAGACCAGGAGCCCTCGCCTACGCTGTGCTGCTCACAAGTAGGAAGGAGTTGACCATCTCAGGAGCCCAGAGTCTGTGCCAGTCAGGGTCCTACGTGGCTTACTTCTATTTAAGCCACCTCACAACAAGCCTAAGAACTGGGTAAATGTTGAGCCCATTTCACACAGGAGAAAAGAAACACCGGTGATGTCACTTGCCCAACAAGGTCACAGCCAGATAAAGCCAGGTTTCAAACCCCGGCCTTCAGCTTTGCCACCCGGGCAGGAGGCTTGCCTGTCCCCCAGCACATCCCTAGGAACACTTGGATGAGGACTCTTGCTCCTTCCACCTCAGCCAAGTCTGCAAATTAGGGAGATTCAGACCCCTATCCCCAGCCCCTCCCCACGGACCCCGCGGTCACGTTTCCCTAGGACGATGCCATCCTGCCTTCCACCTATCCAAACCCATCCCCCATGAAGGCCCCACCACACCCCCGCTCTAGCAGGGAGGCCTAATCACCAGAACAATCCACTTCGTGCCCAGCTCCAAGCTGTGTGTCTGCAAAATGCAGCCCTCACCTCCAAGTTAAGGGTTAATGGGGCGAGGGGCAGACATGAAACCCACAATTACAAAGTACTGATGTAAGGGCCACGCTGGGGTGACCCCGGGAGCTGCAAGGGCAAAAAAAGGGAACTCCTAGCCCTGGCCGGTTTGGCTCAGTGGATAGAGAGCGTCGGCCTGCGGACGGAAGGTCCCAGGTTCCATTCAGGTCAAGGGCACATGCCTGGGTTGCGGGCTTCATCCCCAGTAGGGGGCGTGCAGGAGGCAGCCAATCAATGATTCTCCCTTATCATTGATGTTTCTGTCTCTCTCTCCCTCTTCCTTCCTCTCTGAACTCAATAAAAATATGTTTGTCTTTTAAAACAAGGGAACTCTTAGCCCAGCAGCCGCAGCTCAAAGGAGTCTGTGTGCGAGTAAGAAGCGACTTTTCCGCAGAGAGCTGGGCAACAAGGAGACTCGCACAGGTAAGGAGAGGTAAGAAGTGGGGGTCAGGGTTCCACGGAGAGAGAACAGAGCCCCAAGAGTTGAACAGAGGTACACGGTGCTGGAGGGGGCCAGCACATGGAGAGGTCGGGGGTGGGAGGTGGGGGTTAGGACCCGAGGGGCGGGGCCCTGGAAATCTCAGTCTACACCTCGGGGCAATGGGAAAGCAAGAAGAGGAAGGGTTTTAAGCCGGGGAGTCACGTGATTGGCTTTGCGCGCTGGAAGGGCGGAGGAAGCTGGAAGCGAGAGGAGGAGGAGGAGGAGGAGGAGGTAACCGGAATGTGGGCCGGCGGCGGCCGAGCAGGGAAGCGAGGTGGAGGGATATGCGAGGTTTTGGAGGTAGGACCGCCGGGACACTTAAGGATCCCGCGGCTGTGGAGGGTGAGAGAGAGGAAAGGGTCACCCGAGTCTCCCCCAGCCTCAGGGTGGCCGGCGGTGGTACGGACCGAGGCAGGGGATCCCGGAAGCCCGGGGGCTGGGAGTAGGTGCTGGCGTGGGGTGGGGGCAGGGACGAGCTCCCACGTGCTCGGGGTCTCCCAGCTTCCCCCCTTCGGCTCTTTCTCCCGAGAAGCCTCATCCACGCGACCCTGTGCCTGCAATCCCGCCAGGGGAACCCGGGATCACAGCTCAGACGATGGAAGGAGACGAGGCAGGGGGAGAAAATCACTTAGAAGTCGGTCTCCGCAAACCCCGTCCCTCCCCAGCGAGCGCGGCGCGGGCACCTACCTCCCTTCGGCACGTCCGGAGGGGCCGGCTTCTTCTCCGGCTTGGGGGCTGCAGGCACTTTGGGTTTCTTCGCCTGCGGCGGGAGCGAGGACTGGCGTTTGGGGGCCATGCCGCGGGAGGTCCGAGGAGCCGATCGCAGGGAAGTGGCGGGGCTGGAAGGCGCGCGGAGACTGGGACCGCCCAGGTGCGGGAGGTTTAAATCGGCCCGGAGCCGCCCTGCCCGGAGGAGCTATTTACATGACAGTAGCGCACACACCTCTCTCCCCTCCCCCAGCCTCATCCCTTTCTCCCACCCGCCAATCAAGACCAACTTCTTTGAGTCCTCCCAGGACTTCTCCGGGGCCTCCCGGCCGGCGGGGGCGGGGGCGGGGGGCGTGCTTCGCAGCCCACCCCCATCCCCTCTGAGAGCCCCTCAGCAGGCAGTGCGGACACCTTCTCTTCTTCTTTCTCCCTTTGGCCTCCAGAAAACTTAAATGTGACCTGGCCTACCCCCAGCCTGGAATGTTCCCTGGTCCTTCCCTCCCACTCCCACCCCCTCCAGGTCTGGCTGACTCCTGCCCCACCTCCAGGTCTCAGCCCGGAGGAAGACGTGAATATTGAAATAAAGGATTCCCAACCAAGAATTGCAAAGAGGGAGAAGCGGGTCCCCTGGCGAACAGCCATTCATTCGTCACTCTTTTCAGAAAAGGAGAGAAGGGTTAGGAGTTCAAAGAAGCTGTTGAAGGCTTGGGAGTCACAAACCCCAATGCCTTTGGGGCCCTGTCGGGTAATCACGCGGGTGGAAGGCAGGCGAGTGGAATTCCCAGTAGTTAGTGGAGGTAGGTGGGTACCGTCACTGGGGATCTGCCAGCTCCACCAGAGCGAAAGTCTATGCTGACTTACTCGGTCACCCAGCAATTATGCTCCGGGCCATCCCCCCAACAGAAATGCATACCTCTGAGCACCAATGCAGGGTGGGGCAAGAGTCGGTTTACAGTTGCTCCTAAGGAAAAAATAATACATATGGAAAATAATACAAGAATAAACTGTTGCCCTAGCTGGTTTGGCTCAGTGGATAGAGCATCGGCCTGCGGACTGAAGGGTCCCAGGTTCCATTCAGGTCAAGGACACATGCCTGGTTGTGGGCTCCATCCCCAGTAGGGGGTGTGCAGGAGGCAGGCGATCAATGATTCTCTATCATCATTGATGTTTGTTTGTTTGTTTTCGTAATATATTTTTATTGATTTCAGGGAGGAAGGGAGAGGAAGAGAGAGATAGAAACATCAATCCCTGGTCAGGGCACATACAAGAATCAACCAATGAATGCATAAATAAGTAGAACAATAAATTGATGTCTCTCTCTCTCTCTCTCTCAAATCAATCCATAAATTTTAAAAAAAGAAAAAACATACTTTGTGGATTAAATGAAATATGTGATCAGGCTACTTTTTTAAAATATATTTTTATTGATTTCAGAGATGGAGAGAGAGAGAGATAGAAAACTCAATGATGAGAGAGAATCATTGATCTGCTGCCTCCTGCACACCCCACACTGGGGATCGAGCCTGCAACCCTGTGCTTTTGACTGGAATACAACCTTCAGTCCACAGGTCAGTGCTCTATCCACTAAGTGAAACTGGTGAGGGCCCACTTTCTTTTCTTAAAACTTTTTTTTTTTTTTAATTTCAAAGAGGAAGGGAGAGGGAGCGAGAAATAGAAACATCAGTGATGGAGAGAGAATCATTGATCGTCCTGGGCATGTGCCCTGACTGGGAATCCACATTCAACCATTGAACCACGCTGGTCGGGCAGGTCAGGCCTATGGTCCATGAGTTTGCAACATCTGAGTTAATACAGTGATTTTCCGTTTTTTTCTTTTTCTTCCCATCAATTACCCTCTTAACAAAATAAATCTCCGCCAGGGCAATGTAGCTCAGCATTTGAGTGTCAACCCTTGTATCAAGATATGAAGAGGTTCCGGGTTCGATTCCTGGTCAGGGCACATGCCTGGGTTTTGGGCTTGATCCCCAGCAGGGCATGCAGGAGGCAGCCCCTATCAATGTTGATGCATCGATGTTTCTATCTCTCCCTCTTCCTTCATCTCTCTCTCTCAAAAAAAAATCAATTAAAATAAATAAATAAATAAATAAGTAAATACATCGCAGGCATAAGTCAGTGATGTCAATACCGGTAAAAAGCTGAGGTCTCTGGTGGAAGACCCCCACCATGACCTCTCGCTCCCCTCCATCCCTCCCTTTGTCAGCTTCAGAGGAACTTTGGGCTCCTTCTAAGACATTTTGAAAGTCACAGTGTCTTGGTTTTTACAGGTGGGCAAGCTGAGACCTGAGAGAAGTGATTTGCCTCAGGTCATGAGGGAAATAACTTGGTTAGAGCTGGAACCAGGACTACGGGATCACTTTCTCACAGGGATGACCAGCCTCAGTCTCAGTGTTTACATCTGTAAAATGGGTGATAATAACACCTGTCTCTGTTTTAGAATTTTCAATTTGAGGACAAAAGGGTCATCTTTTCCCTGTTTTCACCCCAGAAATTACCCAAAAACAGTATGGAAAACAAAAATGAAAATTCTCTTAGTGAAACTGGGCGTTAGCCAAACCCCAAACCACAGAATGAATAGGTGACTGGATGGCCAGTGAGAAGGAACAGGAAGCCTGGCTGCTGTGCTCAGTGGTTAGAGCATAGGCCCTTGCACTGAAGGGTCATGGGTTTGATTCCTGGTCAAGGGCACTTACCTTGGTTGCAGGTTTGATCCCGGGCCCCAATTGGGCGTGTGTGGGAGGCAGCCAATTGATGTGTGTGTGTGTGTGTGTCTCTCTCTCTCTCTCTCTCCCCCCACACCCCTTCCTTCCACGCTCTCTAAAAAATAAATAAATAAATAAATAAATAAATGAAAAATATCCTCAGGTGAGGATTAACAAAAAAAGAGAGAAGGAACAGGGTGTGTGCAGGAAGAGAGTTCTGGGAGTATCAGCGACCGACACTCTGGAAGCCGAGCAACAAACCCAACCCAGGCCGGAGCACAGTGTTCTGACAGGATGCTGCACCGGGCTGCGTAGTTCCTAGAAACAAAGGAGCTAAATGAGCCCAGAGGAGCTTCAAAAAACAAATACAAATTAGAGGTATCTCAAAATACCCTTTTTTTTTTCACCCACCAGCTTGAGGTTCAGAAATTTGGAAACACTCTACCTGGGAAAGGGCTTGAGGAGAGGTCCCTACAGCTTAAATGGATACAGCCTCTTGCAGCTTTAAATGGATATAATCTGGTTGGGGGCAATCTATCTTCTCTATCTATAAAAGCCTCATATGCAAAGTGTCCCCTCAGGAGTTCCACCAGGAGAGTTCGATCGCTCGCTATGACGTGCGCTGACCACCAGGGGGTGGCGCCAAACAAAGGAAGGCCCTGACTGGCAGATGGAAAGGCCCTGATCAGC